CAATGATTCCAACGCGTTGTTGCGTCTGGAGAATTAGGATCTGCGTCGAAACACTCGGGTCGCAGCAACGGTTCCATTGTATTCTTAGACAAGTAAATTGTTACGAATAGAATATCGATTCTGATTGAGCGCGAGAACAAGAATGAATAGCGTAAAATGAATAACGCTTTACTTGTCTAAGAATAGACCTACATAAGCTGAAAATGAAGGCGAAAGCATGGTTAATACAAAACGATAATACAAAACGCACAAAGAATATTCATGACACTCGGATACATGTCTCTGCAAGCTACCTTGTTCTTTGCGTGTTTAGTAGAGCAACAGTTGCCAAATATATTTGCGAGGCAGCTAAAAACTACCTTAACTAACTTCCATTGATACTGAATTTTCCACTCTCTCAGTTGCGGCAGAAGTCCAGGAACCGCTAAGAGCGTCGCATGCATAGAAGGCTGGTTATTGTTCTGAGTTGAATTGTAAAGTGCGCACTTGACCGTTCTTTCCCGGCGTTCCGGATAGCCACTGTTCAAAGTATGAGGGTTCATGCATTTCGCATGTGTTGGGACGTGGAGCCAACTGCCACCGTTGCAGGTGCGCTGAAAGAAACTCATGGAAATCCGGTGAATTGACCGAAATGTATGTATCTAAAAAAGGTGGAGAAAGATGCATGTCGCAAGTTAATTTTGTGGGAAAATCAAAAGCATGGCGGCACTTCGAGAAGAGCAGAAGCTTTGATAGCTGTAGCTAATACAAAGAGGCTAGAAACGGCTAAAAACGAATGGGGGGGGGGTAAGGGAGGGGTTAAGGTCAGCATACGAAGAAAGGGCACCACCGACGAAGGCAACGTTGAAAATAATCTATGTTTGAGTCAGTTCCAGAAAGACAAGGGCCAATATCCGGTGCTGATGAACACCGAAGATGGAGTCATCATTTGAAACTGACCGATTTTTTTGTACAACGCTTCGCTTCGATGTATCCTATAGACACTAACCCGGCAGTGCGTGTGAATGATTCATTAGTGAGGCTTCTAGAGGAGGGTTGTTAACCTGAGATAAACTGAAGTCTCACGGAAGAGGAACATTTGTTACGAACTTTTGATAACACTAGAGCCCAAAGGCTGTTTAAGCTCCATTTTCTTGTGCTCATGGAGCTAGTCCTTGTCGTCGCAACATCCATGGCGTACCGGTATTCCGAAAAGCCATAGATACAGGGATTTTAAAGACTACAGACCCATTTGTCTAACGTCAGTAGCCCCCAACACTCGAAAGAATAGTTTGGATCATTGGGCGTGTTTCTGTGCGCACGTGGGACACCTAATCATGCTCAGTATTGATGTCGAGTGCGAGGTTATCCTCGTCATCAGTACAGTCCACGAAAGTATGAGTGCTCAACACCACTGTCGTACAATCTTAATTATCTTTCTTTCCAATCTTGAACAAAAGAATGAAAGTTGACGGAAAAGGGACCCAATGATTATTACTGCAAGCGAGATGGCCCAAGTGCTTAGAGTGCGAATTTACTGACCGGAAGGTCCGTGGTTCGAATCCGACCTCCGCCACTCGGTTTCCCCTGTCTAGGCTTGGACAACCTGGCAGTATCCCAGCCCTCGTGCTTCCTTCGGGTGGCATGGCAGCTAGGCACCGGAAGGGTGCTACAGCTGAACACTTTCTTGCTTTCTTTTCACTACAATCATTCTAAGGTCCATACACCTCTAGACACTCGTGAGGATAGACTCTATGGATGGAAACTGGCAACAGTCATCATCATCATCGACAGCATGACATCAGTGTTCAACACCGATGCTTCACTGCATCGGTGCAATGCTGGCAACAAGGTTGTCATTGATAGTGACCGACAGCCATATTTTGCAGTCTCCAACCATACACAGAGAGGACTTCATACTAGGAGATGCTGGTTTAGCAGTACCTAGACTTTTTGCTACCACTTTCAAACAACCGGTATTCTTTTGGGCAATAGATGGTCAAGTCATCGCAGCTTTGGATGTGGGACATATCCTTCAATTGAAGTCTCTGTTGCACACCGAACAACCGCCTTCGGACTTATTTGTCTATGAATTTGCTTGCGCCAACCCACACGGGTCACGGTTTTAAGACGACAGTTTTCCAAGACCTGGTCGCGCCTCAGCTCAGCTGTTCTCAGAGACTGTCTAACAAGCACAACAAAACAGCCCACGCTGCAGTCTGATACACATGTCTTTTGGAAAAATAATAACCGTTCATCTGTAACACTCTCTGGCTAGCTCCTGTGCCATATGAAGGATACATGAGGGCTGAGACACTGGCAAGTTGCAGTCGAGAGGTTGAGGTTGCTTTGAAGCTTCGGGCCTTCCGGTCAATCAGTTCGTGCTCAACTACTGAACTATCTTGAAATTTAGGGATATGCCGCTTTGTCATCAAATCTGTCTTAAATTCTCAAACAACCCTTAGAGATTCGTGCATTGACCTTATCCGTCGCACTACACTTGGAACTTATATAACTTTTATGACACGTAAGACACTCCACAATCTTGCGTGCCTCTCAGATTGTAGGTAGCGTGTTCACAAACTTCCGGGATATTCTTTGTTGAGCAAGCGTGTTAAGGAGAGCAGACCGGCCAACAGAGTCAGATGCGTGTTTGAAATTTAGGCACACAAATTGTGGGTCGCCTAACCTGGTACCACGGGTACATTGGTTTATAGGTGATAAATTGAACTGATTGATTGCCCGCAGCTGGTCCGCTTTTGGGAGGCACCATTAGCCGAACGATTTTGGTTGTTGTCGTTTCACCGTAGACACTACCGTCAGACTTCGGTAGGTTTCCAAGGCCCTCCACCAGGACCTTGTTTCTTCAGGTGTCTACAGACTGAGCGAATATGTAGCAGCCCTTGGTAGATGGTTGTGGATAGTTTTGGATAATATTAAAAATAGAAATGGTTCAGTTGTAACAAACTTCCGGTGCCTTGCACGAGGGCTGAGATACTGCCAGGTTGCCCAAGCCTAGACAGGATCGGTTGAGATGCAGAGGTTGGTTTCGAACCATGGACCTTCCGGTCAGTAGTGTTCCGATCGGAAGCAGAAATCACACTGCAAAATTTCATCCCTAGTTCGAACCAAAGCCAAACTGCCCACCTAGAATTATTTTAGCCTTGTATTCTGTTCGGGTTGTACGAGACCTGCACACCCGTTTGCAACCGAATTATAACTTTTCATATTAAGTATTGTACGATTAGGGAGTAAAGTGAAATATCCGTCCCATCTGGCCAACTTTCCCTCATGTTCCAGTGTTGATTTTGTATTAGCATAGCGAAGAATAGATTGTCTCTGGTCCGATGGGTAAGACGAAAGCGGATGTTGGCTACTTAAGGCAGGTGTGCCTCCAGTTTGGTTGTTCTGATGGTGGGACAGTTTCGCCTGAGGTTCAGTCTTTTCAACGGTATGGTATATGGCTCAGCCTGACTGTGACAACCTGTCGCATCACTGCCTTTCTTCAACATGGACGGGTTCGATGTTCGAGGGTATGTGGATTTTGGGTTTTAAGCTCGATGAATAGTCCTAATCGTTTTTTTTTCTGGACCAACCAAGAGGTCACTTTGGAACGCTTCGTTGGTATCTTTCAGGCGAGTTGATTCGTTGGTACCTTTCAGGCGAGTTGAAGCCTGACCTTTTCGTGCACATGTGTTTTCAGTTTTGCCCTCGCGAAACGTTCGGGCGTCCGTCGAGGGCATCCATGAAGTTCGTAGTAGAGCGTAGTTTGTTTGCATTGGGATACAATGCGAGCATGAATGTGTCTTCTAGGGTGTGGAAGAGGTGTATTGGAGACGACCAGTTACGGTCGGGTTAGTCACTGCATGCAATGACGATCTCTCCCCGAACGATAAACTCACGCAAACCAGTTGCCAACTTCAGTGAACAGATAAACAGCATGAACTTGAGGTAACTCAGTGGTTAATGCAGGAACTTACTGACCGGAAGATCCATGTCTTGACTCAAACTCTGCATTTTGACTGCTCCTGTCTAAACTTGCACAACCTAGTGGTGTCTCAGACCTCGTGCTTCATTCAGATGGCATGGCATATAGGTACCGAAAGGGCGTTACAGCTGGAAGGTTATTTATTATCACCATGATTATCAGCCACTTAATGCACCCAAGTTACCATCATCCCAATACTACCAGTTCCATATTTTGAATGATATTGGCGGTGAAGCTGTCAGGCCTCCTCACCCACTCGACTCCGAAGTGTTTAATAACCCAAATTATTTTTTGTGCTTCAAATAACAGCAAAACTTATCTTTCAGCCCACTACAATGGTACCAAGAAGACTTATCTGCATGCTGTTCACAATCACACTTGCGACATCCTTCCAGTTTGGCTATCAAACAGGCGTCATAAACGAACCACTCAGTGTAAAGTATACCGGAGTGATTCATTGTCGTAGCTTATATCAGATTTCATAGGCAATGTGAGTGCCACTCGTTATGGCAGACGTGATGATGCATTCGTCACTACCATGGCATCGTTGTGCGTCGCTACATTCCTGATCGGCGGATTAGTTGGTTCCCTAGGGAGTGGAGCGCTCGCCAACAAATTTGGGCGGTAGGTTGCGCTCATACAGTCTGTTTGACTGGACTACCTTCAGTAAAACTTCCATACTCTATATGGCCTTTCCTTGTCTCGTCGGATGTATCATGCTCATGACATCCAAAATGGCCAATTCGTTTGAAATGATTATTTCTGGAAGATTTTTGATTGGACTGGCTTGTGGTGAGTCTTCATACCGTGCGTCATCAGCTCTTCTATATACAGGAGTCTATACAGCAATTGCACCAGTTTATATGTCGGAGGTTTCACCAGCTTCTTTGCGTGGCGCAGCCGGTGTTCTCAATCAGTTAGTGATCGCTGCTTCCCTAGTGGTTGCGCAGCTTCTCGGACTACCACTCATCATGGGTAAGGAGGAACTCTGGCCTATCCTTCTCGGTAAGATATTCCAATAGTAATACACCCAATATTAGCTAGGTCTCAGTGGACTACCCTGTATTGTGGGCGCGTTACTTCTACTTCTCTTCCCTGAAAGTCCTCGGTATATTTACCTGACCAAACGGAACCGCACAGCTGCACGAGAAGGTAACCGTTGGGACTTGGCTCCATTCCTACTTTTTCCACAGCACTACAGTCTTTGCGGAACCCCGGTGACGATATTGACATAGAATTGAGGGAGTTCGACGAAGAGGATGCCGGAACGACTCGAAAGGTGACACAATTACTTTTCTGATGCCATTTTAGGCTTCGTTGACAGATATATGGAAGCAACCACACCTTCGAATGGCGCTCTTGGTGGTCGTCGTATCGCAAATAGGCCAACAGTTTACCGGAATAAACGGGGTTTGTTTTTGTCCATTTATGAATCTCCTATAAACGTATACACTGACCTAACATCTGTCATGCTGATCAGTATCTCGAAAGTGAAAAACAAAACTTTTTCTGCTTTAAATGGATTCCGTGTAAGAGAATGAGCAAGTACAGGGCCTTTAGGGATCGGGAACGAACATTCGTGGTTTTCTCACTTTGGTTAGTTAGCTTTTTGAGTGCTTTTATGCTTTACTTTTAAGTATGCCGGGCGGTTAAAGTCAGGTAGGTGGTCTCCATTGATATCAAAATTGCCCAATTCCTGGGCGAAAGCTGTCGTGCTAGGCTGTTGAAACGCTGAGTTAGGGCGTCTAATTCACTGTAGCAGCGGTCACTCCTAATTTGCTCATGAAACAACCGGCAACGTATTGTGTAGAATTTCGAAAGTGAAGCCCGGCCAAAAATGTGCACTGCACCAACAGTCAGTAAGAAGCCAACCCACTGACCGTAAGATCCGTGTTTCGAACCCAAGCTCGGAATCTGGACAACTGCTCCTGTGTAGGCTTGAAAAGCCTGGCATTATCTCATCCTTCGAGCCTCCTTCAGGTGGCATGACAACCAGGCACCGAAAGGGTGTTGCACCTGAACGATCGCTGTTATTGTTGTTGATTTCATCGAGCGAGCCATTTTAGCAAGACTCAATCACCCTTACTCATTGGACCTAGTGTTTGGGTCTTTATTGTTCAGACAGCTAGTTAAAGTAGGAATACAGGCCTTTCACTGGATGTGGATTTAACCCACCCAGGAGTGTGCTCGAGTTGAACAATGTTACCAGCTTGTGCGTGCTTCAAGAAAACTGCAATCCCTTGGGGACTAGCTCGATTGATTGAGTTTGGTCAGCTACTGTACAGTAGCTTTGGGATTTCACATCATGTTTTAGTACTCATCCTGTTGGACTACAAATGTTGATTTATTTATCGGTACTTTCTTTTTTCCCCTAACAGAATTGCACGTTGTATTTATAATGTTCCATTTCGTAATCACAGTTGGAGTCGAGCGTAGTTGTGTTACGTGTAAGCCCTTGACTCTGACGCCCGAAAGGTTCACCGTGTAGCTTCGGTTACTTGGTTGAGACTGAAACTTCATTCGCTCAGCAGTGTTCCTTCTTTCCCTCTTCATTCAGTTGCTCTACTACTCTGTCGAACTGTTCAAATCCAATGGACTTTCAGACAGCGAAGCAACGTACGCAACTATCGGGATTGGTGGGGTGCTGTTCGTTATCACAACGATCTCGGTGTTCATCATCGATCGACTCGGTCGACGTCTGTTACTCATCGGTGGGCTGTTGGACACTTTCTTCTGCCTTATCATATTCACCGAATGTTTGATTATCAAACAGATCACCGGGATGCATTGGCCAGTCTACATTGCGATTACTTGTTCATACATATTCGTTTGCGGATTCGCTATTGGTCCGGGTTAGTGATATGCCTTTTCCTACTGTGTTTTCACGCTCCGTTTCTCATGCTAGGTCAGTAAGAAAAACAAGTTGAAAAAACAACCTGGTGTTGCACAATGATCGCCCCACTTTAATTTGTGTGGGAATGTGTGGAGTCACACGCATCTATGAAATCCGTAGTCTTCGAGAAATACACTAATTTTCATATCAATGCGGTCGGGGACTCACCTGGAACCCAGCTAAATCTTCCGTTTACGGTGNCTGAACAAACTGGCTTTGTATCCGGTCGGGAGTCTTGTCGGTTCCGGCCAAATACAAATAATGTATCCTCATAATTTTTTTCAGAGAATTTTTTGACACTTTGCAGAAATTTAACAGAAGCAGGCTTAGGCACGTCAACTGAACTGAAACACAACAAGGCCGGCAAGTTTTATGCAGAGGGATTCCAGACTTCGGAGTCAGACGATGATAGTTATGCGAATGCGACAGGTACACTCGCATATCAATTTGATTTTGACGGGAACCCACCTGGAACCCAGCTGAATCTCTCGTTTATTGTGTTTTTAAGCAACTGAATGTGCTACACCGCCTCATGTTTCAGTTGACACGATATTCGAGGTACATGTGTAGATGTGATACACTGCTCGTAAGGTTTCTGTTGAAGAGTTTACAGCAACCCCATGAATTAGTAATCCATTTCACCTCCCCTTTTAGCTATTAGTCCATAGGATCATTTAGCGCTGATTTGGTTGTAGTATTCCCCATTTGGCTACCGGGTTCCAATTAGTTTTCAGAGTGTTTATGGTGAATAGATTGGAACAGATATTGTGATCTTATAAGTTTTTCACAATTTTGTTTATTTCAGTGCTTACGGCTCTGTCCTACCAGTCAGAATTTTGGTTTACGTACAATCGTTTTGAGGACACAAAAAGCTCTTCCGGCTCTTTTNTTTACGTACAATCGTTTTGAGGACACAAAAAGCTCTTCCGACTCTTTTTTGGTGCTCCTGATGAAATCTTCTTTGATCCTCAAACACATGCTTGAAGACTACTCAAATAAGGGAAGGAAAACTCGTTTTGTAAAAGGACCCAGAGTATATCTAATGCAATATGGCAGAACCGTTGGTACCATGGCTCCTCTTGAAAACTTGACACATCCACACCAAACCAACAGAACAGCTAAACGCTGCTTGTGCGATTAGACAATGTTCACGCCTGTTGCCCTACGGAAATCTCGCAGTCGATTGCTCCATGACGGGTTTTTACAAAACATCTTAGTCCATGGTCCCCCCATGACGTGTCCTCAGACGATTCCCCTCTTTGATGGTTGCCCTATTAAGCGTGACCTCCAAAAATGGAGAATATCCGGGTTTCCTTCTTTCCTTTAGCCAAATGTTCATCCGGCGACTCACTGAAATATCTAATATTATATTCGCATCTTGAAGCAGTTCTCTTCTACCTGGTTCACTTCCATTGTGTTCCCGAGCCTATTCACGTCTAGGCTCCACGTAACTTCATTTATATCCTTTATTTGGGGCAATTAACTGATGCAACTGGGAACCACAAGTCCGATTTTGTGTTGTCACTTAATGGTACAGTAAGCTTAACGAATCAAGCGAACCGTTCTTGGCCACTGCGTTCACAGAACCATCGGCGAACTTCGGATGGTTGAACTCGAAGCCAATGACGGAAAAGTCTGTTGTTTGATTGATTCTGTCTAGGTCTGGGCAATCCTGAATGTTGGTGATGTTGTGGAATGTAGATGGTTCGAGTGCGTTGTCAGTACACTGAGGATGTCATCTGGATTGGTGATGCCAAGCTGGGCGAAGTGTCTAAAAACCCATCTGGAATTGTCTCAGCACGCATGCTTTGAGTCGCATGGCCAGCTGTACATTAGAAAAGGATCACAACTGAACTATATCTCTTTTACCAGCTTTGTTATCTGATATACCGGGAATAGGGTTCTATCCATACGTACCACTTAATCAACTTTTGGAAGGCTTTGATCCCTACTGTAAGCTAAACCGCCATTTTTCCGTGATGAGCTCTTTTTGACATATGCATCAACCCTACTCATCCCTGTGTAAGTAGTAGTTGCACTTTAATCTAACATTCGCTGTGCTCCATCCGGTAATGATGCCTGGCAATTAGATGGCACTTAATATCCTAGATATCACATTGACCATTGTCTGAGACACCTCAGCAAGAACGTGGGAAGGTCCATGTTCTCAATACAGTTTGTGGGGTTACCAGGCCGCACCGGTTCTCTACAACCCGACAACACTATCTACCAGTAGTAATACGGGATTTAGAAACCGTCCCCAACCAATCAACAGAGCCTTCCTTTCATGGTAAACTTCCGCTTCCAATGTATATTTGGGAACGCTTCGTTGTCTTAGTCGAAAACCCAGTGCGAGAAAACCGGCGACATCGAACAAACAACAGTCGACCGATCCGATGTGCTTGCTGCAGAGCCAATCAGGTAGTGGGCAACTCACGGGCGGACATATTTGGACATCCAATGAAAGATGCAGAACGTGGCGAACCGTGCCGTTTGTAGCATGCCAAAAATTCGTGGTTTTGCAATAATAAACTGATATGTACATGGAGTGAATCGAGTTCTTTGTGATTGATCTTAAATGCCATAACTTGAATTAGACGTTTTTTGCCTGTTTTGTTGTTGCATGCCTTCTGATCATATGTGATAGTGTTAACTTGGTAATGCCTTTTTGAAACGTGATATCTGAGCGTCTTTCCGACCACGCCAACGTGCCAACATTGTTGGTTCACAACTATCTGCAATCGACTTGCTTGTTTTAGGCTCCATTCCCTGGTTCCTTGTCGCCGAAATGTTACCTCAAGAGAACAGAGATGCAGTACTCTCTATCGCAGTGGCGGTGAACTGGCTGTGCAATATTTGCCTTGGATTGGGCTTTATTCAGCTAATCGTAAGTGGAAATTTTACTCAAAGTTGTTATGCTTATGCTAGTTTCTGTCTGTCTCGGAGTCCCCTGCTACTCATTCAGCTCTCACCATGACTTCTTGTTTGTACCCACTAGAGAATCTTCCTAATCGCAGCGTTCAGGTTCCGGTATTCCATAGTTCTCTGTTGCTCGGTTGGACTTTCAGAATAATTTTGCTTACAGTACAACACCCACGCCGTGCGTTGTTGAGCGGCATTCCCTGTGACGACGTGTTCTGTTCTTTCAGATCATATGTTCCTGGTTCACAATTAAACTCTGTTTTAAGACAACTTGTCGAAATGACAGCTCTGTAAGACGAATGTATTGTCGCGAGCGACCCAGGACTCTAACGCGCATTGGTCTGTTTTTTTTTCATGCGTGGCATTCCGATGTATGCACGTACTTTGTCTTTTCCCCACAGAAATACATCGATATCTACGCGTTTCTTCCTTCGGTTGGCGTGGAATTCATCGTGATATGTATTCTTTGGAACTATATGCCAGAGACAATGGTTGTCTGTTTTTTTCATGCGTGGCATTCCGATGTATGCACGTACTTTGTCTTTTCCCCACAGAAATACATCGATATCTACGCGTTTCTTCCTTCGGTTGGCGTGGAATTCATCGTGATATGTATTCTTTGGAACTATATGCCAGAGACAATGGGTCGTTCTGTGATGGAGGTCGAGGCAGAGTTCAAACGCATGACTCGTAGAAACGGGGCCCATGTTCTGATAGAAAATGATGTGACAGAAGATCCTGGAAGTCCCGTAGTCCGGCCAGGTACGTTCGCCTCGTTGTTTTGTAACAGCTCATGTAACAGCAGCTGTTGAAGTCTACCCAATCCGTAACACTAATCCGATAGTTCGGGAAATGCTTGGGCAATTCAGAAGGCTTAAAGTCTGTGCCCGTGTTTTACTCGCCATAGCCACGCTGCCAGCTGATAAGAGAAAGTGAAAGTATTCTACAGGAATATACATTCGACTCATTAGAAACAGCACCACGTAAGGCCGGCCCCATAGATGTCAATCATTGGGGAGCGTCACTTCGTTTCCACTTCAGGTTTGACTTATTTATTCTACGGCCCGCAATGGCTATCATCGCTCCTCGAATAGGTGACTCTATCACGAACCCGGGTAAGCGAACACGGACCACTGCTGCATCGGTGTTTCTTGTTCGCAACGGTCGTCCTCGGCTAGTGTAGACGAAGGATTGTGTCCACTTGAACACGCTAGATAACTTTTCGTGCTTACTATTGGTATTGAATAGCTTCATTTCAACTGCAGAACAAATTAGCTTGCTGGTTGTCTATTTCCCTCTTTGGTACAACACACACTGATTAATCTTCCCCCGACACAATTGCTTCAATTTTCACAGTGGATTCGAGTTATTCAAGGCTGTGGTCTCGACACAATTATTTTTCAGTACCACTATCGTCCTGTGCACCCACCTCCATTCCTTTCTAATGGATTATTTTCCTCCATATAGCCACTTCGTTGGCCTAGCTCCCTTTTCCAACTCTTCACTAAGGCTTTCTCCACGTTTGTACGGCAGTTATGTATCAGTATGTGTTGCTAGTGTATTGCGATCATTTATCCTGCTGATGAACTGCAAGGTTGCTGAAACAGGGTTGCCGACGACCAACCAGTCTCACCCTTCCTGGGGCTCCTCAGATGAGCGTGGTTCCCGGATCTTGATCAACCCTATTTCGTCTGTGTGTCTGTGTGTTTGGTTTCTCAGACTATCCACGTGACATTTTTCTGCCGATATCAAAGTTTCGTTTTCTGTGTGTGTGTTTCTCAGACTATCCACGTGACATTTTTCTGCCGATATCAAAGTTTCGTTTTCGATCACCGTTCGAACAGCAGATTCTTATCTTTGATGACGGAAACACCGCCACAAAAGTCTGTTACTTCCCTAGCTTACAATGGAATAAATTCGTTAGTTAATTAAAAAGCCCTCCCTATTTGATTGATGTGTACTGTCTAGATCCAGTCACCCTGTCAGCGATCTTATCACCACCGCCATAATCATCGACGTGAGTGTGTTCACTGGTGCTTAATGGCGATAATTCCATTTCATTTTGCTCAAGTGAGGTCACATAAGAACGAAATGCAATCGAGGAAGCGCGTGGTACTCGTCTATCACAAGCACTTGAAATGTCTTCACCAATAAACACCCATTCGGGTTTGGTCTGATTCGTCTGGGTGGATTTGAAAACCTCTCGATTCAATCTGAGAAGCTGCCAAAGCTTCGACGTCTGGTCCCGACCGAATACTTATGCAGCAATGGCGTCATCAATATGATAGGCCTAATTATCGGAGGACTATTCAGCCCTTGGGGAACTTGAAAACAAAACTGACGTCTACTGAATAACCATTCACTGATTTTGTTTTTGCTTTTTGTTTTTCTTTCAGGCAGTCTTTTATCTTCGTACAGGAGCTCCACGGATACCGACCGACGCAGCCTTAATGACCAGGAGGAATCAGTTAGCTAGTCACGCATCCATCCGTCCATCAATTTCGTCAGTTCATGTCGGATTGAAAGGAACATTGTGGATTTTTCTCCTTATATTTTGATTTAGCTTACTACCTCGTGTCATTCAGTTTTTTTCTCCTCGTCTTTTCGCAAACATATTTGTACTGCCCTCTCTTAAACGATGCAGTTTGTTTTGAATTGCTGCGGGCTTCTACGGTCTTATGCTCCTATGCGTAGAACCCAGTTCCTTACCAAATCGACCAATGAGTTGGGGCACATTGGACAGCCATGCAGTATGCGATCAGAATGCGCGATGTCCTTTTTTGGGCTTCTTGTAGCGAGTGTTCTCACGTGCACTGGTGACCCAAGTAGATCACTGTAGTACACTCCCATGAAATTGAATTGGGGCGAGATGGCACAAGTGGTTAGAGCGCGAATTTACTGACCGGAAGGTCCGTGGTTCGAATCCGCCCTCCGCCACTCGGTTTCCCCTGTCTAGGCTTGGGCAACCTGGCAGTATCCCATTCCTCGTGCTTCCTTCGGGTGGCATGGCAGCTAGGCACCGGAAGGGTGCCACAGCTGAAGGCTTCCCCCTTCGGTCAGGGAAAGAATCGAATAAGGGCTTTCTTTAGGCTAACAGAGGTATCGGTGAACGATCAGAAATGTCATTCTCCAGACTTACTGAGTGAATCTTCTCCAAGGGCTGGGGCAGCAAATGGTCGCTATGTGAGTATACACAGTACTTCAGTGGGAAACAAAGGCATTCCCTTCCCAGTTACCTGTTTTATTGTCCCAATAAAGGGATCACTTGGTTTTGAAATCATTTGGCGAGGTCCTACCGATCACCTGTAGTCGTTGTCAACGAGTCATTGTCTTTTTCATTGAGAATGCTGTCAGCTTGGTGACTTAATTAAGGGCTTCTCTTGCTTTAATCATCATGCCTGTCTTCAAGCAATGGCGTAATAAGTATGTTATTTATTCCGGACTAGCATGTCGCGTACTTACTTCCCTTTAATTCCAAGTGGATCATGATATAAATCGTTCGTTGAGTTGTTACACTGATGATCCGGTCAATAGAGCGAAATAAGCCTTCTGGGGTCACACGAAACTCATCACATTGAACGGGAAATGTTGTTCGATGGCTCGCTTCATCCACCTCAGACTAAGAGTAGGTGAAGCAACCATGTCATCTCACTGTGTCGTTAACCGAAACGGGCGGGTTGCTATTCGGAGTCAGTCCTCGGTGTAGAATGCAAAATAAAACCAGCGTGCCAAGTGTATTTCTGATTCCTCCGTGCAATCTGTTGTTGCTGAGAGTTCCTCAAGAAAACTAGTGGGGTTTAGATGGATTTAAGTACCTCATTTGTGAAAAAATGGGACCGGAAGGGTACCTGGGCTGTCTTGACTCCACGCAGTACGCAAGTGATGTTTTTCCACATGTCTTCTCATTTCTCCATCCTGTGGGTCTCGTCTGGAAACGCCTGTGATAACCGATTTTAATTCCTGGTAAATGAACGGCTAGTGAAATTGAACCTCAAATCTTTCCAACGAAACGGTAAAACCTGTTCCTCTTCTAACCAAAAAGGGACATCCTGGGCATCAATGACATGATCCACGACTGCGGCAAAGTTAACAACGAATCTGGAATAACATTGCGAGGCGTCCATTGGAGGATGAAGTGTTTGAGTTTTTGCTCAAGGTGCATACTGAATCGGCGATTTGCGTTGAGTTGTCTCTGGTCTGGATTCTTTATCATGGCAAACAAGGTAGCCGAATTTAGTGAGTTCCCTGTGGAATACCGACACGGGCAAAGTTTCACGTGAGATACAATGTACAACAGCCGGTAAACGTGAATGAGCTTCTGTGGAGTGTGAGAAATCTCGTGATAGGTCCTAGCTCTTTCTATACCTATTCCAGGCCAAACGGCGCGTCTGAGGCCAGTTCACTGGAATCTAGTATTCTACCAACATCTCTCGAACTGAATTTTTGGCAATCAGCTAATCAATCAAATGCGGAATCGCTGCTTCTAATTCCTCTCTGGTTCAGCTTTGTTGAAGCCTCGAGTCCAAGCTGACGCGTCACAGACATGCGGAGTTTGTTCCAATTACGATAGGTGCTACAGTTGGTCTTGCGCAACGCAGATTCGGTACGGAACAAAGGTGCACCGCTCACAGAGAAGAAGGAAAGGTTTGGGATGCTCTCAGCTGGCTGTTTTTACACGATGACATTTTGAAAATGCGTTCACATTCCTTCCATTTTAGAGAATTCTTTATGCTGATATTCAACGGTCACATAGTGCTGGTTTTCTGTTTCCATCGTAACCTGGAATAAAAGAATCTCACTCTCCAAACTGGAAGCAGTTGGACAAGCTTTAAATGCAAAGTGTAGTGCACCCGTAACATCAATAAAGTTGTGCGTCCTTCACCTAGGTAGTTGTGTGTGGAGGGCTATGTTTATCAGTTGTGGTGGCTAGTATCAAGGACGAAGTAAGTTAGTCAAAATAACGGCCATCATGTGGGGAGAACTGTCCAAGTAACAGATATATGAGTGCAAACCCTTGCAGGTTATCTTCACCATATTCAAGTTAAGTAGTAACCATCACCATCATCAGTAACCATCACCTGAAATTGATCATCACTGGAAACACCAGTAATGCATACTACGGCGTTTAACTGCCATGCAACTATAAGGAAAAGAGCCTTAGTAAGGAGTGGAAAGAAAGGACGTAGTACAAGGAATACAAGAGTAAGCTACACTCTAGAACAGCGTTAATTGCATATGGGCATCATGCCGGAGTAACAGCAGTGATACAGGAACGGAAACTAGACCGGCATATGCTCAGCAGGCAACGACAGGGGGGCTTCAGCTAGTCAGTTTTGTTAAGAAATGAAAGAATGTGTGCCACTGGAATCGGCTGCTTGCCATATCCTGCAGGGTTTCCAGCCACGTGCAAGCTGGATAGCGTGGACCGTAGCCAAGGAAATTCAGGAGACCCACAGCGCCCAGTTCGAGTGTGGCGTTTGTTGTAGCCTGAAGGGGTCAGTGTTTGATTCACTCTACCAGCGTTTTGAACGTGAATTTTGTCCGGCGTCTTATTTTGCCCCTCTCCGGATATCCAACGTGCTTTCTAGGGAGCACACACTGATTGCGAATGCTAGCAAGTCAGATCATGGCATCCCGTGGCTATTCCACAATGGTTGATTCAAATGTTGAGTTTCATAATGGCTTAATCCTTCTGTGTATGAATCCTCTGCCAAATTCAGACACACAGGCGCATGTCTTTTCCTTGTCGCTCCTCTGCTGCCCACGCTGCTTGTTTGACCTTCATGCTCCGATATTCATGTTGCCTCGTTCCTCAAATTCTGCTTTAGAACCGCTCGCGTGGTGAGCATTGATGTTATTAACGTATCGACGCATGAGCTCAGACTTACCGCTATTTACCGTCATTCCGGAGTCCCACAACCGATTTCAATTCATGTGACAACCTGCTTCTGCGAAGTTTTCGCCAAAAACAGTTCGGAACACCAAACGACGTTTTTCTCGTTAGGTGTAGTGATTAGTCTTCCGCACCTAGTACACATCGTGATTATGGGCGCACCACCTTCATCTGTAGCAGTATTAGGTAAGCCAGTAGCCTTGTTATGACGGCTTATAGTCCTACGGATGAAAGATCGGTAATGTGCCTTTCTTTACTAAGGGTTTGACCAATTCCGCTTCCCTGAGCTACGTCCATTTCCCCAAATGAATACGACTACCTCATGGCCAGAAACAAACACACACAGAAGAAGTAAAAGTGACTNACAGGATAATTTGGCTCAGTTTTTTATAAGTGCCTGCAGAATGTCATGTTTTAACATTCAAATAGTGAGTTAAGACAGAAAGATATATTAGTACTTCGGAGTATAAACTTATACCACGGCTCAAAATAAACAGAAACAATGAAACATAGGTGTTTGGACGGGCAGAGAACCAAACTGCTGCCGAAAATGTTCTAGGCAGCGACCTAAACGCTGGTTTGTAATATGCTCCAGGGCACTAACAGTATCTTTGATTAACTCACTAACGAATGGTCTCTCAGTTCCTGTTCTGCATGTTATCTGAAACATCTGTGTATTTTCCCTTCATTTCTCGGGCATTCCGTCCCGCTCGGCCTTTCTGTCTACACACAGATACCCAATCTATCGTCTAGCTCATGGCCAGAAACAAACACATACAGAAGAAGTAAAAGTGACTGTCCTGAGATTCACTGATTTCTTGGAAGTGTTCGGAAACATGACAGTTTCCAATGTTGACTGAAACTGTGGTTTTTCGACTCCATTATTGGTCACTGTCGTCCTATGAGACCGCGTGTTAAACATTGCATGATAAGCGCTGGTATGCTTCGTTAATTTGTGGCTCACAGAGCGCTCACAGTGATGAGCACATTGCTTGGTTTCACAGGGGAAATTCATTGAAAATCTACACCAAACTAGAGTGTAAGCTGGATTAGCGCACCACAGGACGATCTGCAGCAGAGTTTGAACCTTCTCAGTCCAGGAACAATTAAGCAAATATCTGTTCAGAATTGAGAATTCAGGTGAACCCAACCTGTGTTGGTGAGGTAGTGGTAGTGTACCAGGCCGGTTGAGTTTAAACCCCGGTTCGACCGAGGAGGTTCAAGTAGGTCATAAGTTTGACGGAAACTCGGGGACTGCGCCTACCTGATGAGCCCCAAGAAGAAGGAAACCGGTCGTGGTCTGTCAAAGAGTTTTCAGCAACCTTGTGAGTTGTTACGTTTATGAAAACCCTGAAGAGACCTTTTTGCAGCAAGTTGAATTAAAGAATGTCATAAGTGAGATATTCGACTGCGATCCAGTTGAGTCCCCCATTAACCCAAACTTAATTTTCTACTGGTCTCACTCTGATTGATGCGGACAGTTTGATGTTCAACTAAAATCTGAGGGTGATAGGTAGTCGGGACTGATGAGTCTCAAACGGGCGAGACCAGTGAAACTGCTGAAGAAACTTCGGCAACCTTATGGGTATTGTGTTTTGTACTGATTACCATGTCTGGTGCTTACATCACACTAGCATCAGGCGCATCAGACCTGTCACTTCGGCTGAGGACGACATCACATATAGACTTATTTGCTATCAGTCAATAATCCCACTGACGGAGATCACATAAAGGTTTATATAAAGGTTTACATTTTCCCACTTCCCCGTATCTAATATGATTTGGCGCCCGTGTAGGCTAAAGAACAAATCTCGTTTATCGATGTAAACATTTTTGTTGAGTTCTGTGTAGTTTCCAGGAGGTAAGTAAGAACGAAATCTCATTTCTCCCATAGGTGACAAAACGAAAGCCAGTAGTGTTTTCATTAGTCGAACTGGTAAGGAACTGGTTGGAAATTAAGAAATCCTGCAGGAGAATGACTTCATATTAGTCCTTATCTGATTTTGCTCTACAGACAACAACCAGATGAAAGATACCGCCTTGGACGGTAAAATTATAGTCTTTATCAAAACTCCCGTCAAAAGGGAATGTACCTCCCAGGAGGCATGCCGTTCTAGATAAGCGAACATGATGGATTCATCACGAGTCGGCTTTGAACCGAATGAAATCATGTACTGGTTGATGGGAACTTGAGCC